TGCCGGACCGTGAGGCTGGCCGCGGGGATGCAAAGGGATCCAAGATGCTTCTTCGTCTTCCCTGAGATGCTGGCAGTCCCCCTGGGAGCCAGCCAGGGAGCAGCCGTCTCGGGGAGCAGATGACGGATCTGGCCGAGGGAGCCAGGGGAGGGAGGAACAGAAAGCGGGGAGCGGAGAGTGAGGATGGGAGAGTCTGCAGGTGGAGGGTGCTGAGCAGGGAGGGGCTGGCCCGGGGCTGGGGGGCCGCCTGGGGCACCCCCTCTGTTGAGCAATCCTCAGCGCTGAGAGATCACTGAGGACCAGGTTTGCTTTTTTCTTTTATGCATATTTACGTTTTTTTTCCCAAGAGTATGTATGTTTTTACACTTAAAGCTTTTTATCAAACAATTATGATCTAGTTTGGAAGAGTTCGATCATATCGTACTGCCCGCGAAGAATCGTTTATTAAAAAGGGCAAGAAGTCGGTGGGGATCACAGCTAAAACGAAGGTGGCCGTGAGACCTGACTGCGGAAGCCGGGTGCAGAATGGTTCGTTACATTAATCTTCAAAAAGACTCGACAGTCTCCGGGTTAGTAGGTGCGAGGACTTTAGGAGGAGGTTCCGCTTGCACGCCTGCCGTTGGAAACAATCCAAAGTGGACATAAACGCACCTTTCTTAACTATCCGTCAGTGGAAAGCAGGACTCTCACGTGTCAGCACCCCGCTGGGAGATACCTCGATGAACAAATTGGCTTTTACATGCGCAAGAAGAAATAGTGCTTCCCCTCAATGAATCCGAGCGGCAATCCTGTTTGCTCACGCACGTAAAGCAGAAGGCAATCGGACTCACGAAAATATGTCACGCAGGAAGCCTCTTCACTCAGAATCAAGACGATGCGGTGACTCACACTGCGTGATTCACAAGGTGGAGATGTGGTTCTGGTGCCACTTGCGGAGTCTGGAAATGATGCTCCACATGCCTCAGCATGACGGAGAATTGTATGTTGATTATCGGAGCTCGAGTTGTCTCGCGGGACGTCAGGCCGCCGGGGGCCACAGGCGGGGCATCTCCCAGGCAGGGGCAGGGGTGCCCAGGCCCCGGATGTGGCCTGCCAGACCTGCCAGACTTGTCCTGGCGGTGGGGACGGATCCCTCACACCCAAGTCCTCGTCCCCAGCCCGGAGCCCACAAGACTCATCTGCGGGGGGACAGCACGCTGGTCGCCCGGCCGCCTGGACGTCCCGTCTGCTAGACGCCGGCTGACAGTGAGAGAGCTGCATTTTCTTTCGTTTTTCAACTGTGGTAAAAGACACAAAACTGTGCCATCTTAGCCATTTCGAAGTGCGCGGATAAAGTCTGAACTCTAGTCACACCTGTGTAAACAACGGCAAGTGTTTTCATCTTGCAAAGCTGAAACGCTGCACCCAGCGAACGTCCGTTTCTCTCCCGCCACCCAGGTCCCGGCAGTGCCAACCGACTTCCTGTCTGCGAATCTGATGACTCCGGGCGCCTCGTGTGAGTGGAATCGTAACAGTGTTTCTTTTTGTGTCTGGCTCGTTTTGCTCAGCGTCCGTGTCCTAGCACGTCAGACTTTCCGTCCTTTTGCAGGCTGAGTAATATTCCGTGGCAGGTGTGTACTACCCTTGTTCATGCATTCATCCGTCCATGGATATTTGGTTTGCTTCCACGTCTTGGCTATTGTGAATTTTTTTAAACCGTTTCTCACTTGCTAACTAAAACAAGGTGGCTGGTTTATTACTCCTCGCCCCAGGAGTTTGACCAATTAAGCTCTTCAAACGGGAAGGGTCCTGCGGGCCGGGCAGGCGCACGCTCTTAAAAAGCGAATGTGGGCCCACCGCTTAGGATATGCCAACCTAGAATCAGACCGGGCTGCACCTGGGCTCTGCCGCCCATCACGTGACGGACCCGGGACAAGTTATTTGGTAGTCAGTCCCCAGGACCAGTGTCCTCACCTGTGGAATGAAGCTGCCGCCGGGCTCACTGGGCTGTGGGGGGCTAGAATAAGAAGATGCAAGATGCAAGGCATTTGTGGGGCTGTATTCCCGGGACATAGCAAGAATCTATTCTCATCTCGTCTAGGCCTTTCGTGGGGTCGGAATCCAGTACCCCAAACCCTGGGCTCTTCAAAACGTGCCCAACTCGAACTCTGAAAACCATTACTCCGTTGCCTCTGTGTGTGTGTGTGTGTGTGTGTGTGTGTGTGTGTGTGTGTGGAGGGGGCGGTGACATGAACATGTCTCAGTGCAAACTTCCTTTTCTGTCAACACAGACGGGAAACAACAATAGGCACTCGCACCACCTGGTGGCGGTTTATAGAAAGTTCCATGGGAATTTAAAATTCGACACCAGAAGTCTCACACGGCCGTATTAGATTCCTCCTACAACCTTACATGAATTTTTGTGTGTGTGCATTTCTGAGTAGCAGCTTCCAACGGTGATTCTCGGCCATAGCTGGGTACCAAAATCGCCTGGAAAAAAGTTTAAAAATATATAGATTTCAAGCTGCACAACAGGCTATAGCATTATATCCCGTGGGCAGGATGAGGGCATCTGTGCGAATATCAAACAGTAAAAAAAAAAATGACAAAAACCAAAACCCGCCCCCACACGTGAGGAAAGCCACAGCTCTCATGCCTCGGCAAGGACGAAGACGGACATGAGCACGTCTACTCAGAAAGACGACGGCCAAGGAGACAGCACAGAAGTCCTCTACAGGTAAACTGAGAAAAAAATTAAAATCAGGCCTGCTGGTTGCGATCAGTCGTGGTTTGCCTGTACATTTCATTAACGATAGCAAATGAAGTTTTTGATGCTCTGTTATAGCTGTCCCCACAGGAAGTTGTTTTTTTTTTTTTAATGTCTGGAGGTGATTCTCAAAACTAATTAAATCAGGTAAGAAATATGGTTTTCTTGGAGTAATGTTTATTTAAAGGTAGAACTCAGAGCAAGCCATCTTCAGGAGGGCATGCAGCCTACACTGGCTACTGCGACATATCCAGAAATTTTGTAAAATTTCCGCTCTAACATAAATTACTGAAACTCTGCACATAGGCACCTGTATTACATACAATCTCCAGGTATTTTTCCAAAGTTAAAACTATGAATTGACATCTAAAATGTTAAAGCCTCCTCACAAAATAACTGGTTAAGAACTTGACGGAGTGAGATGCCGTTGCCAGCACGCTCATTAAACGCACAATTCGAGATTCCAGCCGTAGTCCAGGGGCTACGTGGTGACAGTTGTGTTAGGCTGTAAGTCACTTCGAGGTGGCAGCCGCTGTGTCGTCGCTGTCTGGCTCCTGACTGTGTCAGAAAACCCCGCCCTCAACGACCGCCGGTCCTCCCGCTGCACTTCTCTCTCTGTCCACCGGGTGGCAGCAACGCACCGCGGCGGCCGGGTCGTCAGGGGCCGAGCGGACCCACCAGAAGTCTCCGAGTTAATGAATGGGGCACGAACGTTAGAGACGGGAAAGCAGAAGAGCGACCCTAAAGCGATCATAAGGCCAAAACAGTGCTGGCCGTGGAAAATAAGAGACAATGAACGAATGAATGGGAGAAGGAAGAAAGTCTGCTGAACGTTCAGAGGATGTGGAGGTGAATGAAATCCGGGCATCCTGGGTCCCGGACCCGAAAACGGGCACGTTCATAGAAGAGAAAGGCCAACCCCACTTAAAAAGGAACCGATTAGGGCTATTTCCCCACCTGTGTCCCCAGAGATTCCCCGCCCATCTCCCCATTCTGCACAGAGGCCGATTGGCAAAGTATGGCGACTTTCAACAGCAGGCGTAAAGGCCCTTTCGACTGCTTCTTAAGAAAGTACTTGGACAACCACAAGGACACGTCTGTCCCCAGTCGAGGAGGCATATCAACATTTACTTTTGTACACATATGAACAGTTCTCCATGATCGTATTCCTACTTATTTAAATACACACAACTCCAAAGTTTGCAGTCCATCCTGACGAAAATAGCTAAGGTGGCAGAGGAAATAGAAAAGTCCTTTCACCTCTGTTCTAGGCCTGAACCGGCAGACGCTCCTCTGGCGACCTGTGGCAGAGCGTTTTTTTGTTTTTGTTTTTTCTGAGAAAGGAGGTTCGATAAAGGAGAAAGAACACGGATGCGGGAGGCACGACAGACACAGAATTCAAGGTCAGCGAGCATCTTCGACAGAAGGCATCGCTCTCTCCAGAAAGAATCAGAAAATATTCCGCGAGACAGAATTAACGCGAAAGAGGGAGAGCTACAGGGAAATACTCCTATCAAGACAAAGTGACAGAAAGCCAAGCGCTCTGAGCTCAGAGAGGAGACCCATCAGGGGGCCCCCCAATTAAGGGGCCCCCCAATTAAGGAGCCCCCCCCATCAGCGGGCCCTGGAGGCTTAACCCTAAGCCATCAGGGACCCCCTGCCGGGCCAAGTTGTTTTTAGAACACTGGGTACTTTGTGTCACTCCTGGCTGTGAATTCCCTGGCTTTTGTCAGCCAGCGTCACAACCTGAAGCAGAAAATAGTAGCTTAACCCCCACCCCCACTACTCATTTACTGTATTTCTTCATGTTATAACCTCCTGTACGGTTGTGAAGAAACTGGACTATAAATAAACTCTACATCTCCACTTTTAATTATATCCAGAAAATAGCGTGAGCGTCACAGCAAGGCAGGAGAGGGAAAGCACAGTACTGAGCATTTGCTAGAAGCACAATAAATACTTAATGTATCAAGTCCGCTTTCAAAATGTTACTTCATTATACATCCATCGTAATGGCTGGGTATAGGCCAAAAATCATTTAGTGCACAAGGAAAAATTCTGCAAAGCTTTTAGTGTTTATTAAAATTAGGATAACTGTGGTATTTCATTTGGGAAGTAAGTTTACGTAGAAAATACGGTTTCATTTCTAGAATACTGAACTAAAAATAAGTTTAACACAATGAATTATTTGTATATGCAAGATAATAAATATTCGTTGAATGGAACTGGAACTATGGCTACTAAAAATTTTTTAAAAATCTTGTACTAAAGATATAGTACATGAGTCAATACACAGTTAAAAATCCTATCAGTACGTAAAAAACAGAACACCTCGTTAATGAAATCACTGGGATCCAACGAGAAAACGTTCCTCTCAAATTTTTAAAGTCGAAGACTACACAGCTCTTTGGCTACGATCTTTAAATTTTCTTTGGCTACAATCTTAACTGAATAACAAAGCACATATTGACTAACCTCTAAATCATAACAGTAAAATAATGACTAATTACTAGAAAGATACGTTTTCCCCCAAATCAACCAAATCAATACTTTTTGTGTATTTTAAAGAAGCGGCGAAAGTTAACTTTTCGTCGGTGACAGTCGGCACGTTTGCGTCTGGACCAGTTCTGAGAACCAAACTCCCAACCGCAGGACCCAGAAACATCTGCTCATCTGCCCGGCCACTCATCACAGGTGTCTCCTCACAATCTTGCCATTCTCTCGTGGTTTTTTTTTTTTCACAGTAAGTAAACTGGCGATATAAGTTCGTGATAAATCATAAAGATGACACTACTACGAATATTAATGTCATATCTTAAGCAGTGATAGTTAGAGAAAACCTCAGTCTTTGAAAATATTTTTATGCCCTGTGAACTGGTCTGCTCTGTACAGCGTGAGACGCTGCGGGCTTAAGAGACCCCGACCCTATAAGCAGATCCTGGGGTCATGTCTATATTTTTAATTTACTCTAAAAATACAAATCGAATTTTAGGGACAAAAAGGAAAAGCCGTTCCCTAACGACGACAAGGCACAAAGACGAAACGAAAGGCATCGCAAGTTCTGAAAAACTGTCCAATGAGAAACAGCTGTTGAGCTTTGTATATGTTCAGATTTTTTAAACATCAGAAAATGAAATCTTTGTTGTTTTATTCTGTAATTCACAATTATAATAATGCCGATGTTTAATTATAGTGGCGATTCTTAAACTTTCCTTCATCTTTCTATCACCGATTGGATGACATGATGACGTCCACAGACTGAGAGACCACGAACTTTCTTAGAAGGCCGACCGACAGGCCCCGGAGTGGCGGGTTTGCGTGGCCTCCGGGGCTGAACCGTGCATCCTTCTGCCCAAGGAGGGTCCGACGTCACCCGCTCTCCCGGTCCACGTGATCGTTCTTTGCCGTCTCAGGTAAGAGCCAAGTGCATTTTTGTGGGTCTGTCCGGAGAGCAGGAGGTCCAGGCAGCAAGTAGCACATTTCTGGAGAATTCTAATATCCTGGAGCCACTCTCTAATATCCAGAGAGTGGGGGCAAATGCTAAATTAGGGTTTCTTACTGTGGAATGGCGTAGCCAGGAGAAAAGGGACAGGTCAGTAACCAAGTGCCATGGAATGGATTCAAGGCCACAGACTTTTGGATTTCTCAGGGAAGACCCCACCTTCCTACCAATGATCACGGCGCAGTCTGGCCTCATCCCCTGAGACGCCAGCTGGGTGCCGATGCCCTCTTAGGTGTCGGGGGCCCGGCCGGGGCTTTCGGTGGCCGGGCCTTAGTGCAGCTTGCTGTGCACAGGGTAGAGTAAGGTCATGTGTTCCGCCCCCTTGAAAGGCAGCTTCTCGTTGGAGTAGTAGTGTACCACTTCCGGGATGCTGTCAAAGACGGCGCTCATCTGGTCCAGCGTGTACTTGCTGTCTTTGGTCTGAGCCACGATGATGTGCACGCATCCCTGACTCGTCCTGGAACGAAACGCACACCACGGGGGAGACGTGAACGGGCGAGCTGGAGCCCCCCTCCCCCTCCGAACAGCAGACACCCCAGCCAGCCCCACCGGGCGGACTCATTCTCGTCCACTCCTGGGATGGATCTGGACGAACAGAAACGCACTCGACAGTCCAGCAGGGCTCCATGTCACCGCCCTCCTGCGTATTAAGCTTATCCTTAATACACAGGCGTCATCGGGTGCCCGGCAACAAACAAACAAACCCCAAAACCTAAAAAAAGCCCAGTCCCTTCTGGTCCCCCAACTGCCAAACTACCGTTTACGCCCAAGTATGAGGCCACCGAGGTGAGGCTGAAACTCACTCTCCTCATCACGGCTAAACGGACACGTATAAGGCTTCCTCCTCCTCCCCCCGCCAAAGGATACATTAAGAATAATAAAAATAAAAAACCGTTTCCTCCCCACCCCCACCCCAATCTGGAGAGACCGCTCCCGGCTGTGTGTGATGGCAGCTGGCACCGGAGGCCCGCGGCGCTAATCCGTGAGCCTCGGCCTCGGGAACACGGCACAGCCATTCCTGGTATTGTATACCCGGTGGCCCGGCCAGTTTTCTGGGCCCTACTGCTCGGACGCCCTCCCGCCATAGCCGCTGCCCCCTCCCGCCTGATTGTTTCAGCTGCAGGGCTCAGCTTCCTCAGGAAGGAAATGCTGTGAGGGCGCCTGACAATGACCCTCCAATATAGCACCACCGAACTGGCAGAGCCCCGAGCATTTCCATGATACGAGCACCAGTGGGCCGGCCAGGCGAAAGTGAGTGCTCGGTGCACGGCGGGACAGGGCGGACCCGCGAGCCAGCGCGCCCCTCCTCACCGGCGTCAGAAGACGTTGCTATCGGAACCGCAGCTGGCCTTTGGGTGACCAAGGGATCCCATTTATTAAAATCCCCAAACACCAGGGGATACAAAAAGAGCCCCTGAGCTATCCTGAGAAAGAATTCTTTTCATCAGGAATTATTTCTTGGGGGCGAGGACCCACCTTCGGTCAGGGAGCATAAGAAACGGACTATGCACCGTACCAGTGACACGGGACCCTCACTGTCCTGAGATAGTGGGGCATTTACTGAATACCAGCTCTGCGTTCTAATCAGAGCACGTCGGAGTCCATTGTCCAAGCAAACGCATCTTATTTGGTGGGCCACCCTCAAGCGGTATCTTTTTTGACTGGTCACCACCCACGACAGAAGGGACTGTCGTGGGGCACCCCTTCCTGCATCCAGATGTGTGTGTGGGGGGGGCCAGGGGGTTGCAACACTCACTTCAGAGCGATGGAGTACCGACTGGCCCCCGATTCGCTGTTGCGAACCAGGTAACCAGCTTCTTTGCAGGGCTGAAGTCGGCTCTCGGCCTCCGCCCGGGTGATGGCGCCATGATACCAACTGGAAAAAGGGAAGCGGGGAGAAGCCGTGAGCGTCAGACCACAAGGTGCTCTCTGAACTGCACCTCCAGCGGAAGCTGGACAGCCCCAGCTAGATCCTGCTTCCCAACCCGCACAGGCAGAATGCGGGTCTAGGGAGCCCCGCGTCACAAAACCCATCAACCACACCAGAGGGCGCTAAAAGGGGCTGGTGTCATTTTAGAAGGTTTTTACTCTACACAGGAGAACGAAACTTAAAATCGGGTTCTTGGGGCGCAGTGCACTTGCCGCGCACCTGCACCGGGCTTTGCAAGCGGCCCTTGGTTAATCAGCCCCGGCAGGTGTCCGCGGGCAACGATAACCGCGGGCAACGCGCCCGCGCGCTCCCGGGACCCCGGCCACCCCCGAGCCGCCAGGTACCGCGCGTTACGCGGCCGCGCGGAGACTCACGGCTGCTTCTCCAGCGGCAGCGCGGGGTCCACGCGCGCCCCCTCACTGTGGTCGGAGAGGGCCGGCTTCAGGACCTTCTGCGTCCAGCTCTTCTGCCGATGGTGCTGCCTCGCCGCCTCCTCCTTCCCAGAAGGCCGCTCAGCGCCCTCGAACTGAACTGGAAGGAAGGCTCATTGAACAGCCGAGGCCACGGAGGTGACCCACGCAAAGGTCAAAGGGGAAGACCTTGTCTGCCTCGGGGCGGGGGTGGGGGCGGGGGGAAGCCTCCCCTCCCCCCTTCAATGTATCCGGCACATATACTGCAAAAAAAAACCACGCCTAGGACAGCTGAGCTCTGCCGCCTGTGGCATCTGATCACACTGACTTTCTCTGTAAGGTATTCGTCAGCGTGAAACAGTTTTAGAATGCGAGAGAAAACCAGCTTTCAGATACGTCCGCCTGTCCGGAAAACGGAGCCTTAGTTCAGTATATTTAGAGGAAAAGAAGAAACGCAGTTACAGGTGATAATTCCTCGCAAGAGTGTGTATCACTCTGAAACCAAAGGAAGTTTTTACTGTGAAATAATAAAGGAAAAAGAAAAATGAACTCCGAAATGGAAAGGAACTACTGGGTGCTGCCGGAAAGATGCTAAGACACCGGGTGGGGGAGGGGGACAGGAGATGCCAAAATGAGCAGCTCAACACAGGAGCCCAACGGGTTTGTGAAAACGAGACTCAAGGAAAACCCAGACTGACTCCCGCGGAGCTGCCACACATTTCACCTCCTCTGTCCTCACCCACTCTACTTGGAATCGCAAACCCGCCTTTGCTTTGAGAGGGAAAAACACTTCCCTGACTTTTTAAATCAAAGGCAAAAGACATTATGTGGTCAGTCAAGTGGGAAACTCGTGGAGAAGCCGGAGGGAGAAGCATCTTTAATGGCTACTGACAACCTACTTATCACTCTTGAAAAACAGATTCCTTTAGGATTATTGACCACACACACACACACACACACACACACACACACACACGAGCCAGCTTCATCCAAGCTCCGCCCGCTGATCCGCTGGATCCATTCTGCCATTGTATAAACAGGGATCCTCACGGGCTTGAGAAAGGGCACCAAGTGAGAGTTAGAAACGCCGCTCCCAATTGGACGGTTTCAGATAAGGGTTTTCAACAGCCATTTAAGGCATTTGCAGAACAGGTGCGCAGGACGAAGACGAAAATAAAGATGCCCAGAGGATACAAGAAGGATGTGAAGTTCGGGGCTCTTTTCAGGCCTGGGCTTCCACCCAGGCCCCATTCTCCACCCCCGTAAAATTCCGCGGGAACAGGGTCTGCGCGCAGCCGCAGGGAACGTGGCCTGGGCAGCGGGACCAGCGCGCAGGTTCCCCTGGCAGCGGGTGCGGGGGAGACGGAGGGGGTCCACCCCTATCCCGACACTCCCTCCCCTGGTGGTACCCCCGAACCCATACACGGCCTCCTCCCCTCACCTGGAGGCACCCCTCCTGACTCCGCCCACTTTTCTCACCTGGTGGCCCCCCCTTGGCACCGCCTCGCCCCTCACCTGACAGCGCCCGCACGATCTGCTCTTTCTTCCACTCCCACGGCTGCTCGTACTCGGCCGCGGGCCGCCCGTCGTCGGCGGGCAGCCTGCC